ATTTGGAAGTGGTGATGTAACTTGCAGATCATCCCGACTGTTAGTATACATATTTGTTCTTTAATCTTTCACCAACTGGCAAGTCCTAGTGAGCACAATTAACCATCTGAATTTATTTAAATTCCATCAGAAACTTTTTGCCAATGGTGAATTCAGACCTATGATGACATGCCCTGCTTGGCAATTTTTAGTTTTACTTATATCTAAACTATCAGCATACAAAATTCTATCAAAGTTATCCAAGGGAGTCCCCAGAAGGTCTGTGTGCTGTATTGTAATTTCTTTTTTTTTTTTTGAGACAGACTTTTGCTCTTGTTACCCAGGTTGGAGTGCAATGGTGCGATCTTGGCTCACCACAACCTCCGCCTCCGAGGTTCAAGCGGTTCTCCTGCGTCAGCCTCCCTAGTAGCTGGGTTTACAAGCATGGGCCACCACACCCGACTAATTTTGTATTTTTAGTGGAGACGGGGTTTCTCCATGTTGGTCAGGCTGGTCTTGAACTCCTGACCTCAGGTGATCCACCCGCCTTGGCCTCCCAAAGTGCTGGGATTACAGGCATGAGCCACCTCGCCCAGCCAAGGTGTATGGTAATTTCTTTCTTTCTTTTTTTTTTTTTTTGAGACTGAGTCTCACTCTCGCCCAGGCTGGAGTGCCACAGAGTTTTCTTAAAACTCATGAATCAGTTGTTTTTTTTTTTTCCCTGCAGCTTCCTCACCCCTCTCAGCCTTCATAGAAATTCTGGAGTAGGAAAATGCAATTGACATGCTGAATAGTACATCAGAGTCTCCTTGCTCTGGATTAGACTTTGGCTTAAGAGAATGTTGTGGCTGGGTTGATTTTTATTGTCCAGACCACTCAAATTTTCTCCATATTAGCAATAAGCCTGTTTTGCCTTCTTATCAGTTGTGTGTGCAGTGGAGTAACACTTTTAATTTCCTTCAAGAACTTTTCCTTTGCATTTACAACTTGGCTAACTGTGTGACACAAGAGGCCTAGCTTTCAATCTATCTCAGCTTTTGACATGCCTTCCTCACTAAGCTTAATCAATTCTAGCTTTTTGGTTTAACACAAGAGATGTGACTTTCCCTTTCACTTGAACACATAGAAGCCATTGCCATTGTAGGGTGATTAATTAGCTTAATTTTAATATTGTATCTCAGGGAATAGGGAGTTCTGAGAGAGAGGGGAGAAAGGTAGGGAAACAGCCAGTCAGTGGAGTAGTTAGAACACACACAAAATTGATCAATGAAGTTCACTCTTACATGAGTGTGGTTCATGGGTTGTAATAACAGTAATATCAAAGATCACCATAACAGATAATAATGAGAGGGTTTGAAATAACGTGGGCATTACTATTAATAAAATGTGCCACAGTGAACACATGCTGTTGGAAAAATGGTGCTGATACACTTGCTCCACTCAGAGTTGCTAAAAACCTTTAATTTCTTTAAAAAAACAAAACAAAACACTACAATATCTGTGAGGCATAATAAAGTCCAATTAGCAAGGTATGCTTGATTTTATAAAACTTATATTTTGAAAAAGTAGATCACATGCCCAAGTTGTTTCAAACATACTTGAAAGTATTTCTCACAAGGTGTGGTGGCTCACAGCTGTAATCCCAGCACTTTTGGAGGCCGAAGCAGGAAGATTGCTTGAGTCCAGGACTTCACGTCCAGCGTGGGCAACAAAGGGAGACCCCATCTTTACGGAAAGGCAAAAAATTAGCTAGGCATGGTGGTGCGCACCTGTAGTCCCAGCTACTCAGGAGGCTGAGGTGGGAATATCATGTCACTTGAGCCCAGAAGGATGCAGCTGCGGTGAGCCATGATCATGCCACTGCACTCCAGCCTAGGCGAAAGAGCAAGACCCTATCTTAAAAAAAAAAGAAAGAAAGAAAAAAAAAATTCCGGTAACTGAATTGAGTACCAGAGACTCATTTTTTAAAAAATTGCATCTGCATTGACAAAGCTGGTTCATCTTTTTTTTAGAAGTATTAATTTGACTTTGAAGCAGAAACATCCATTACAAAACAATGTCTATACAAGTTAAGTAAATTTACTCTTATGTTACTCATTATTACAAGTTGAGTTTCCCTTATCTCAAATCCTTGGGACCAAAAGTGTTTCAGATTTTGGAATATTTGCATATACATAATGTGATATCTTGGGGATGGGATCCAAGTCATAACATGAAATTTATGTTTCATATACATCTTATAGACATAGCCTAAAGGTAATTTATACATATTTTAAATTTTGTTCATGAAACAAAGTTATAACTTTGACCTGTTACAACAGGTCAGTTGTAGAACTTTCCACTTGTGGCATCATGCCAGTGCTCAGAAAGTTTTAGATTTTGGAACAGTTTGGATTTTGAATTTTCAGATTAGGGATGTGTACCTATAGTATGTCAAATTCAAAGGACTGTTACTTAAATAAAAAAGCGACTCCAAATTCATCAACATCAGAGCATTTTTTAAAATTTTTAATATTTTCAATTTATATAACATGTTGATTGTAATTAAACTATACTGCATATTGATTTATTCTTGAAAAACGCATAAAATTATCATTATTATTATTGTTATTGTTATTGGTAGAGATGGGGGTCCTACTATGTTACTCAGGCTGGTCTGGAACTCCTGGGCTCAAGTGATCCTC